TGAGGCAGGAGGATCACTTGAGGACAGGAGGTTGAGAGCAGGCTGGGCATCAAAGTGAGACCTTGACTCTACAAAAAATTTAAAAATCAGCCAGGCATTGTGGTGAGCACCTGTAGTCCCAGCTGTGGTAAGCTGAAGTAGGGGGATTGCTTGAGCCCAGGCCTTGAAGGCTGCAGTGAACTGTGATCGTGCCACTTTGCTGCAGCCTGTGTGACAGAGTGAGACCCGGCCTCAACAAACCCACCCCAGAAACCATGATCTAATTCAGGGTCATAAAGACTCATACCTCTGTGTTTTTTCTGAGAGTTTTATGGCTTTGGCTCTTACGTTTAGGTCTTTGGTCCACTTTGAGTTGATGTTTCGTGTTGCATGAGTAAGAGATCTACCTTCATTCTGTGCCTGTGGCACTATTTAGTCAGCGCCCCTTGTTGAAAAGCCTGTTCTTTCCCTGTTGAGTGGTCTGACACCCTGTTGAAGTCAGTTGTCCACAGGTGTATGGGTTTATTTCTGGACCCCGAGTGGACCCTCCAGTCTCCGTGTGGTCCTTATGACGGTGCTCCCCTGTCTTCGTCACTGTAGCTCTCAAGTTCCGAAATCAGGAAGTATGAATCCTTTAACTTGTTCTTCTTTTGTTAAGATTGTTTTGACCCTGGATCAAACAATATGGGTCCTTTGTATTTCCCTGTGAATTTTAGGGTCAGGTTGTCAATTTCTGCAAAAACACCAGCTGGAATTGTGATGGGGATTGGATTGAGTTTTCAGGAAATCTGATAGGGATTGTATTGAGCTTTTCGGGGAGTATTGCTGTCCTAACCACATGAAGTCAGCCAGTCAGTGAGCACGGGATGGCTGTTCATTTATTCAGGCTGCCTTTAATTTCTTTGGCATCGTTTTACAGTTTTCAGAGTATAAGCTTTATATCTCTTTCGTTAAATTTATTGCTCAGTATTTATTTTTTGATGCTGTTGTAAATGGAATTTTTTCTTTTTTGAGACGGAGTTTCACTCTTGTTACCCAGGCTGGAGTGCAATGGCACAATCTCGGCTCACCGCAACCTCCGCCTCCTGGGTTCAGGCAATTCTCCTGCCCCAGCCTCCTGAGTAGCTGGGATTACAGGCACGCACCACCATGCCCAGCTAATTTTTGTATGTTTAGTAGAGACGGGGTTTCACCATGTTGACCAGGATGGTCTCGATCTCTCGACCTCGTGATCCACCCGCCTCGGCCTCCCAAAGTGCTGGGATGACAGGCGTGAGCCACTGCGCCCGCCCCCCTCTTTTTTTTTTTTTTTTTTTTTTTTGAGACTGGGTCTCACTCTGTCCTTTACACTGGAGTACAGTGGCACGATCTTGGCTCACTGCAAGCTCCGCCTTCCAGGCTCAAGTGATTCTCCTGCCTCTGCCTCTGCCTCTGCCTCTGCCTCTGCCTCAGCCTCCCAAGTAGCTGGGATTACAAGCATGTGCCACTACTGTCTGGCTAATTTTTCTATTTTTAGTAGAGACAGGGTTTCACCATGTTAGCCAGGCTGATCTTGAACTCCTGAGGTGAAATGATCCACTCACCTCGGCCTCCCATAGTGCTGGAATTACAGGCATGAGCCACCACACCGAGCTTTTTAAAATTAATTAATATTATTTTTTTGAGACAGAGTCTCATTCTGACACCCAGGCTGGGTGCAGTGGCATGATCTTAGCTCACTGCAACTTCTGCCTCCTGGGTTCAAGTGATTCTCCTTCCTCAGCTTCCTGAGTAGCTGGGACTGCAGGTGCCTGCCACCACATCCAGCTAATTTTTGTATTTTTAGTAAAGACAGGCTGTCACCATGTTGGCCAGGATGATCTTGATCTCTTGACCTCATGATCTGCCTGTGTTGGCCTCCCAAAGTGCTGGGAGTGCAGGTCTGTGCCACCATGCCCGGCTAATTTTTGTATTTTTTGTAGAGATGGGGTTTTACCATTTTGGTCAGGGTGGTCTTGAACTCCTGACCTTGTGATCCACCCACCTCAGCCTCACAAAGGAATTTGGTTTTTTAAAGTGTGATAGTGGCTCATGCCTGTAATCCCAGCACTTTGGGAGGCCTTGTCGGGCAGATCAGTTGAGGTCAGGAGTTTGAGACCATCCTGGACAACATGGTGAAACCCCATCTCTCCAAAAAATATAAAAATTAGCTGGGCACGGTGGTGGGCACTTGTAATCCCAGTTACTCAAGAGGCTGAGGCCAGAGAATCGCTTGAACCCGGGAGATGGAGGTTGCAGTGAGTCAAGATCGTGCCACTGCACTCCAGTCTGGGCAACAGAACAAGACTCAGTCTTAAAATATGAAATGAGGCACTGGCTTTTCATATTTAACTTAATCACGAGGGAGAGAGATCCAAGATGGCTGATCACTAGCAGCTCGGGATTGTAGCTCCCATTGAAAGCGCAAAGAAGGAGAGGACGCCACACCTTCACATGAATTCTTGTTGCTGACGCACCAGGAGATTCCCAGCGGAGGAGCCCCACGGGTCGCCAGCGCGACTCTTGTGACCGGCGAGACGGTTTTGCCGGCGCCTCGGAGCGTCGGTTCTCGGTGCAGAGTCGGAAAAGCACCATCAATCTTAACGCCGCTGATTTAGTCGGTGCAGTGGGTTGCTCAGATTTCGGCGCTGAGAATCAGTAAGTTGGACGTCCACTCAAACCCAATTACAAAGACGGTAATTATAAAGACCACAGATGGATAAATCTACAACGAAGGGAAGAAAACGGTCAAAAAAGGCTGAGAATACCCAAGATCAGAACGCCTCTCCCTCAGCAGGGGATCCCAGTTCCTCATCAGCAACTGAAACAAGGCTTGATGGAGAACGAGTGGGTTCCAATTACAGAAGCAGGCTTCAAAACGTGGATAATAAGAAACTTTTGTGAATTAAAAGAACTTGTTATAACACAATCTAAAGAAACTAAGAACTTTGAAAAAAGGTTTGACGAAATGTCAACAAGAATACAAAATTTAGAGAGGAAAATAAGTGAATTGATGGAGCTGAAAAACACAATACGAGAACTACGTGAAGTATGCACAAGTTTTAACAGCCGAATTGATCAAGCAGAAGAAAGGATATCAGAGGTCGAAGATCAACTCAATGAAATAAAACAAGAAGACAAGATTAGAGAAAAAAGGATAAAAAGGAACGAGCAAAGTCTCCAAGAAATATGGGACTATGTGAAAAGACCTAATCTACGCTTGATAGGTGTACCTGAAAGTGAGGAAGAGAATGAATCCAAGCTGGAAAATACGCTTCAGGACATTATTCAGGAAAATTTTCCCAGCCTAGTAAGGCAGGATAATATTCAACTCCAGGTAATACAGAGAACACCACAGAGATATTCCTCGAGAAGAGCAACTCCAAGGCACATAATCGTCAGATTCACCAGGGTTGAAATGAAGGAGAAAATACTAAGGGCAGCCAGAGAGAAAGGTCAGGTTACCCACAAAGGGAAGCCTATCAGACTTACAGCAGATCTCTCAGCAGAAACCCTACAAGCCAGAAGAGAGTGGGGGCCAATATTCAACATCCTTAAAGAAAAGAACTTTCAACCCAGAATTTCACATCCAGCCAAGCTAAGCTTCACATGTGAAGGAAAAATAAAGTTTTTTGTGAATAAGCAAGCACTCAGAGATTTCATCACCACCAGGCCTGCTTTGCAAGAGCTTCTGAAAGAACCACTACACATATGAAAGGAACAAACAGTATCAGCCTTTCTAAAAAAATTATCAAAAAGAGCATCAATATAATGAAGAATTTACATCAACTAATGGACAAAATAGCCAGCTAATGGCAGTATTAAACTCACATATATTATTATTAATTCTAAATTTAAATTGACTAAATCCCCCAATCCAAAAACAGGCAATTTGAATAAAAAACTAAAACCCATCAGTATGCTGCATCCAGATCCATCTCACATTCAAGGATACACAAAGACTCTAAACAAGGGATGGAGAAAGATTTACCAACCAAACAGAGAGCTAAAATAAATAAATAAAAAGCAGAAGTTACAATTAAGCAACAAAGATCAAAAGAAGCAAAGAAGGACATTATATAATGATAAAAGGATCAATGCAACAACAAGAAGAGCTAAAGATCCTAAATATATACGCACCCAATACAGGAATACCTAGACATACAGGACTTATAAAGAGACTTAGACTCCCACATAATAATAGTGGGAGACTTCAACATTAATATTAGACAGATCAATGAGACAGAAAATTAGCAACGATATTCAGGTCTTGAACTCAGATCTGGAACAAGTAAATGTAATTAACATTTATAGAACTCTCCACTTTAAATATACAAAATATACACTCTTATCAGTACCACATCATATCAATTTAGAAGTTTAAATGAAATCTTGGTTGGCTCCTTGTTTGTTATTCTCTTCCCTCATTTTCTTTCATGTCTCCATTATTAAGGATAATTATAGGCATACCCATATTTAGACTGCATTCTAGCCTGGGCAATAAAGCAATACCCCCATCCTCTCTCCCTCTTCCTCTTTCTCTTTCTTCCTTTTCTTTATTCTAAAAAAAAAAAAAAAGAAAGCTCACGACTTAAGCACTGAAGCAGGAGTTGGTGCATCAGTATTCTCAATTTCAAACTTTGAGAACAGAAAAAAAAAAAAAAAAAACTTAATCACTTAGTACTAAAGCACTTGTTTTGGAGGCCTGCATTAGTGAGACCTGGTCTGCCTCAATATGATATAATATGTATTTTGACATATCATAATATGACATACCATAATGTGATAATATAATTAAGTATTATTTATGCCATTTCTCTGTCTTAGTGAGGATAATAGAGAATCGAATGCACCAGTTTAAATGAAATCAGAAATCTATGACTTGAGGTACACTTTTATAGTTTGTTGACTTGTACCCCAATTGAGAGATTCAAAGAAAAAAAAAATATGAAATGAAATAAAATAAAGCGCGATAGTGTATAGTAGTTGTGTTCTTCAATTTTTTTTTAATGGAACACTTAACGAATTTGCTGTCATCCTCGCACAGGGGCCATGCCCATCTTCTCTGTATTGTTCTGGTTTTGGTGTATGTGCTGCTGAAGTCAGCTGTGCTGTGGTCTTTAAGGAAGACTTCTCATCTTTGGGGATAATTGGAAATGCCTGCAGGTGAAGCGATGCTCTGTCGGAGTTGCTGGGAAGAACCCAGTGGGGAGAGGAGAGGGTGGGCACTCAGTGGAAAGAGATGGGATGTCAGCTGGTAAGTTTTGAATTGGTGTAATGGGCTCGTCGGAGTTTATTAATACTTGTCAAAGTCAAATGAAAATACACAGATGAGGCCTGGTGCCGTGGCCCACACCTGTAACCCCGACACTTTAGGAGGCTAAGGCAGGCAGATCACCTGAGGTCAGGGGTTCGAGAGCAGCCTTGCCAACATGGTGAAACCCCGTCTCTACTAAAAATACAAAAATTAGCTGAGCGTGATCCAGCTACTCAGGAGGCTGAGGCAGGAGAATTACTTGAGCCCAGGCGGCGGCGGTTTCGGTGAGCTGAGGTTGCGCCACTGCACTCCGACCTGGGTGACAGAGCAAGACTCCGTCTCAACAACAACAACAAAAATACAGGTGAATCTCTAAAGAAAATGTTTTACTTGGGAAAACAGAATTGCAGTTCAGGCATATACACAGACCAGGGTAGTCTTTGGTTCTCAAAACAAAGAGCATGCTAGGGGTTTCTTGGAAAGAGAAATATTACCTGTTGTTTTGAAAGAAAATGCATTGGCCCTGATAAAGGTTTGGGGAGCTGGCACTCTGGGATGGATGAAAGACACAGAAGGTAAAGATAGTCTTTGGGTCAGGCGGCTTGTCTGAGCAGCTGTGCCTGGTGGTGGTGTAAGGTTGCAGTGGCCTTTCCAGCAGCTGGGGGGACGGGGGGAGCTCTGGGAGCAGGTGCCGTACCTCAGAGCTTCTGAGATTTTCTCTAATGAAACATTAAACAGAAGAGGCTCCTGGGCCCACCTGTTGACCTCTGGCGGGTAGTTTTGTGGTGAGGAGCTGAGAACCCGCACCCTGAGGAGAGGCTCCTCGGGCAATCTTGGCTGCTGCCCTGGCGACTGAGGTTCTGTGCTCTAACCCAGCTGCGAGTGTTGTGTGCAGGCATAGACAACGCCTGGTCATAGCTCACAGTTCTGCAGGTCAGATGCCCTGAGCTTATGGGCTCAGGGGCTGAGTCGGGGTGCGCTGGCCAGCTGGGCTCCTGTCTCGAGGCACCCGGCTTCTGGGGTTGGGCCAGTCCCTGCAGCCATGGGACCGAGGGCCATTTTCTTGCTGGCTGTCAGCTGGGGTGGTTCTCTGTGCCCTTCCACGTGGCCCTTCATCCTCACAGCCAGCAGAGGCACCTGGATCCAGTTTCTGATGCTCCTTCTGTCACCACCTGAAGGAAACTGCTTTTCAGTGGCACATGGGGTTAGATCCGGCCCACCTGGAGGCCCCCCATCTACCATCGAGCACAGCAGTGACACTGGGTGAAATGTGCTGGCCTTCTTAGGACCCTCCTGCCACACCCCTGCAGGGCACCCCTTTCCATTCCAGGATTAGCAGGACACACAGCTGGGCTTGTGGGGGAGGTCTGTCTGGGAGTGTGGGACAGAAGGGCCACAGAGTCTCGTGGAGTCCTGAGCCCTCTCAAAGCCACGACTCGGTTTCTGTAAGTTCTCTTGTGCCCAGTGTGGTCTCATGCCCTTACCACCCCTTGTGCTGTCCTCTGTGTGGGCCTCTTCTTGTGATTTCCTTACGTGTGCTGCTCTCTATTTGCGACAGTGACTGAGGGACTTTGAAGCAGGAGCTGGTGGGAGTGTCTCTGGATGGGGTGGGCCTGGGCTTTCCTGTGGGCTTTGTCCTGACCTGGGCCGCTCCAGGGTGGTAGGGCTCAGGGGACAGGACTTTCCAACTCCAGGAACTCTGCTCTTAGCACAGGAGGCCTTGGGTGGAGGTTTCCTCTGGCTTGCAAGGCTGCCGTGGGACCCAGAGGCCCTGGACAGGCCTCATGTCTCCTGGGCACCCTCCACAGCACCCACCCTCCTCAGCATGGGGAGACCCCTGGCTGCTGCACCCACCTCATGGAGGAGCCTACTGAGCTCCAGGTACCCATCCTCACCCCGGTGCCCGAGCTTTGAGGCCTGGCCCCACACAGCCCACCTTGGACTGAGGGCGGCTCTGCCCTCCCTCTCAGTGTGCTTTGAAAACTTCCTGGAGTGTTTCAGCTGTTCCCGCTGCCGGCTGCCTGCTGAGGTTTCAGTGCTCCTCCTAAAACTCATGTTGCGATTCGATTGCTTAATACTAAATAGTAACTACTTTAAGAGGTGAGGCCTGGCCGGGCGGGTGGCCCAGCCTGTAATTCTAGCACTTTGGGAGGCCTAGGCGAGGTGGGAGGTGGGCAGATCACTTGAGGTCAGGAGACCAGCCTGGTCAACATATAGCAAAACTCCGTCTCTACTAAGAAATACAAAAATTAGCTGGGTGTGGTGGCATATGCCCAGCAACTTGGGAGGCTGAGGCAGGAGAACCTTTGAACCTGGGAGGTGGACGTTGCAGAGCCAGGATCATGCTATTGTACTCCAGCTTGGGTGACAGGGCAAGACTCCATCTTCATCTCTAAAAATAAAAAGAAGTGAGTCCTTTGGGAGGTGATTTGTCTCCGCCCTTGTGAATGGATGACGTCGTTCTCTCGGCAGTAGGTTTCTTACCCCAGGAGTGGGTTCTGGATGGAAACCGTGCGTTTGCTCCGTGCCCTCCCTCTGCCTTGCCGCTGGTTCATCTTCTGCTCCGGTGTGACGCAGCAAGAAGCCCTCACCTCCAGATGCAGCTTTCTGATCTTGGCCTTGGCAGGCTCTGCTGAGCCAGGTAACTTTGTGTTCTTTATAAATTGCCCAGTCTATGCTATTTGTTACAGCAGCAGAACATGGACTAGAGTATATACTGCTTCCTTTTCTTTACCTTTTCAGAGATGAGGTCTGGCTGTGCTGCCCAGGCTGCCTTCCAATTCGGGGGCCTAGTGATCCTCCCACTTCAGCCTCCTGAGTAGCTGGGATGACAGGCACGCTGCCACACCCAGCACAGTCCCCTTTCTTATTCTCTGGTGCTGCATTGTTTATATATATATAAATATAAATTTTTAAAAAATCGTTTTGGGCTCTTGGCAAGGGAAAGTAAACTTGAGGAGCAGTGACTGGTCTGAGAACCAAGTTCCTGGGTGTCTCACGATCCCATTAGCTGGGTGGTCAAGTGCTCCCTGAAGCGAACCCCTCTGGGTTTTTGGCTCCTGCATGGCCTGTCAGGAGTTTGGAGCAGCCTCATATTGGAAGCTGGCACTTCCTCCTCACTCCTGAGCTTCAGGAGGCCTGGCACTGGCTTCAGAGCAGTTGTGGAGGTGAAGCAAACCCTCAGCCAAGAGCCCGAAGGGTTCCCCATTCTCTCAGGCTGGCGTTGGACGGGAGCACTTTGTGAGGCGTGACCTTTACAGACACATTATTGACGCATGAGAAACTGCACTCATTGACAGTGACCATCGGGTGAGTTTTGGCCAAAGCCACCGCCACGCTCAGAACGCAGATGTGTCCACACCCACTGGACCGTCACTCCTGCCCCAACGTCTCCCTGGCTGTGACTTCTGCAGGTGTTTCCTGCTGGCCTTCTACTTGGGCAGAATCAACCCCTCCACAGTCTACCGCATCACTAGCGGGTTGTTAGATAGGGGTTGTTTGAAAAGCAATGCAATACTAAATGCTTTATAAGACCTGAGTTTAGAAAGAGCGTTGATGATTTGGATGTTGCCGTTTTACTGATGACTGACTTTATCACTGTGCTTTAAGTGTGGATTACTTTATCTCTTCTCTGTCTTCTGGTACGTCACGTGTTCTTGTCTATTTTATGAAAGACCTGAGTCGGTGCTAAACTTTTCTACTCAAATTAATGCAAGCCTTATCTGCATTTTAATTTAAAACAGTGAAAAACTCTCTGGTGAAGTGCCAGCCAGAGGTGTGGAAGTGTGGCTCGAGAGAGCCTGTTCCACGTGGGGTGTGAGTGACACCTCCCAGCAACGCGTGGCAGCCGGAGAGGCCCGCTGGCTTCTCTCTGTCTGCGTAAAGTCTGCCACTGTGTCCTCCAGAGACCTGCAGATGCCTCACGCTGGCATTGTTGGTCTCCTGTGCCCAGAGCTGGTTCAGACCTTGAAAGGCAGCCACCAGGGACGCCCTGTGGCCTGCCCCCCACGGGGCTCTGCCAGGTCAGGCGTGGGGGTGACCTTGGCTGCCACTGGGCTTGCGGGCTCTGCCTCAGCGTGGGGCTCTGCCCAGTGAGGGTCAGCTCCTCGGAAAGGACTGGCTGGGGCCTGCAGTGTGGTGTGTGTGTGCGGGAATTGGGACCTGTCTGGAGAGTCTCCCACGGGTCTCCTTTTTAGAACCCCTGTGCTGTCCCAGGTGGAGCCAGAATTGTGTCACTGAGTTGGGATGAGGTAGAGAACGAGTCACCTTTTAACATGGCCCCTGGGTCTCTTATTATGTAAAACTTGAGCTGTCCCTTCTTTCCGATTCTTCCACCCAGACTGCAGCCTGTGCTGATGACGGTGGCGGTGGCTGTGATGGACCCTGCCTGTGGCCACAGCAGCTCTCCCGGTGCTGGGTGGCTCCTCGCTCGGCGCCCATCCACCCGTCTCCTGCTGCTCACCTCGCTCAGCTGAGTGGCTCCTCCTCTGCTGCTTGGTGTCCTTGCCCGGTCGGTCGTACCAGTTAATCACCTTAGGTGCTGGCCCTGCACTTCCGGACGCCACGGAGCCTGGCTTGTTGATGGGACAGCGTCTGCGCCTTTCCCTCTACGCCCCCGACCAGAGGGATTACTGGGGAGGGGTGTCAGGGAGCGGCAGGGATCACTGTGGGGTCTGTATGACCATCTGTGTCCTTGTAGCTGGGGAATGGTGCCGCGTGGTGGGCAGGGGCACAGGGGTTCTCGCTGAGTAAGGGAGTGGGAGCCTTGCCTTTGTCTCCTGGGTGGGCGTGGGGCTGGGGGAGTCCCGGAGCCGGGGGGAGGGGGTGGTGGCAGCTGCTCTGGCCAGCGG